TTACCCTGCAACTGAATCTACATCGTGAGGTCTCAAATTGAAAATTTTGGCCTATATATATATATATATATATATATATATATATATATATATATTCAATATTATTATCTAAATCTGTTTACATCATTCGAATAAAAACGTAAATTAACATATTTTTTGATAATTTCCACCAACGTTAAATCAAAAAAAAAAACTTTTATTATTTTTCCCTGAATTTATATAAACAACACTTATGAGTTGACAGCCTTCAATTGTCAACTAGATATACAGTATGGTAATGCGAAGGCTACTGTGTGTTTGCATATCCTGTTTTCTACAGCAATGTTATACGTGTTTTTTAGGGTAAAACAATGGGCATTTAAGACAATAAATGTTTAATGAATATCTAAAAGAAGGAGGGTCCCCAGCACACATCAACTTCCTTTCGAGCAGTCAGGAAATATGCAAATTTAAGTTAATTATCGACCGTATATCTGCTACGTAAGCATATTACGATTTCTCCCTTTATTCAAACCTCTTAATAAACATTAAGAATTGTTTTAAGTTGGTCAAAGGAAGAGCGGTCTCTTAGCGTTAGTTCTATTTCTTAGTAAGTCGCACAATTTTACCGTTGGACATTAACTTAGCATACTTTCACTACTTGGTGTATTTCTGTTGCTAAGGCCTCTTTTATCCATTGCCTCAACCTTGAGTGCCTCTTTTATGTCCACATATTTTCAGTTTTGTGTGTGTCTTCGCCCTGTCTGTGGATTTCGTCCTTCTCATTTTGAATTCCAACTAAAGCACCATGGATCAATTCCATCGATACTGATTCTGTATTCTTATTTAAATCGACCTGACTGGTACTTTTGGCTGTAACTGGGCTTTCACATCACTCGCTGTGACGCTTAAAAATCATTAACATGAACGAACCAGGCTCCTTACCATCGTTCAGACTTACTCACGAGGTGTTTGTCGCAGGTGCACTGTAGGTCATTATTTTAAGGAATATTTAAAATGATCAACTCTTATCGTGACTGTTTATAAGAACTCATAGGAGGTTCCTGTTGCGTAAAATTTAATCTAAGAGATCGTGAAAGTAGCAAAAAGGTAACTCTGACAGTGAAAGAGGCTTTGAATAATGTTGCTTTGTCTTGCCGACACAGTAACCGCTTTTCCATGGTACGTGAGTACAAAAACGCTTTTTTATGCTGTTAAATGTTGGCATTCCGCCAGTCCTATTGTTGGTCCTCCTCAAATTAACTTTCTGCTCCTCCGTTGACTAAAACTAAAAGCACATCGCTACCCTGGAAGATCTGAAGACGCTAGTCTTTTGTATCAGAAGAACTTTCTTTCCGAGTGCTCTAAGGTAATAATGTGCCCACCTTCGTGGTTCTTGCAATTCAGAACTAAAAGTGCCCTGAGATCAAGAGATCCAAAAAAGATCGCCGCTTCTCTTTTTGAGTCAGGTGCGATTTATTTAGTTACTTGATTTTGCATCATGATCGAAGTGGACGACGTCAAGCTTTTTTCATCACTTTCCCTGATTTGGTGACTTTACATAATAACTATTCGGCCATCGTGCGCTATCATCAGTCGCACGAACCCTCGACCTAGGAAGTGGGCGCTTAAATCCATGAAGTCCTAATTATTTTGGTGTTTTGAAACAGTGCTTTTAACGAAACTGCAGTTCGCTTTTAGTTAGCACCAAGCTAGGCTAAATGGGACTACTGATTTGCATCACTAGTCCTTCTCCGCAGTCAGCCGGGGAAAAAATACTTGTTGGCATTGATGGATTTGTGTGAATTGGCGGACGCACTTATTCTAGGAAACGGCGAAGTGCACGCCATCGCCAACGGGCCTCATGGTATGGTAACCGTGATTTCACTTATTTTGACCGTCAACTTCAATAGTTCCGTGTGTGGTGATGCGTTACGCCAGTTCCGCTACAAATCCCCATTTTATAGCTAGCAATCAGGCTGTGCAAACTGACTAGTCCACAGAATCCTAAACTAACCGTTTGAACCTGACGAAATTTATTGGTTCCACACTCTACACTTCATACCAATTCCTGAATGTTTGTGCGACAGTTCAGACACATCTCACCAGGGGCTACCCATTTGCATGATGACGTGCACCGCAACCTACCTCGTTAGCCGCGTCATATGCCTCAGCTCCTAATTCTCTGTTTTGTTCCCTTTACTCCGTTTCGCCTATCTATTTGCCCTTTACTTTTATCCCAAATTACTGTTTCCGTCTCCTTTTTGCATGGTATCACTTGTTTTGTACAAATTGGCTTATTACTCTTCTTTATAGACTGCTATTCTGTGTGGTTGTACTATTTTCTAACTTACATCAATTTCAAAACCAGGACCTGAACGCACGTCATTATTAATATGGGTTTGGAGCCTGAGGTGCAGCTTTCGGACTCGAATGAAGACCAGATACGGTTATGGTATTGTTTCCTGTGTTATTTCACGACATAGGTCTTCTCTTCTGAAAGAAGTTGCTAACGCACGAATAGGAAAACTTCCTCAGAAAAAAGGACTTGTGATTCTGGGTGACAGTGGATGCGGTAAAAGCACATTGGCATGTCGCTTGAGTCACAAAACCCTTCCGCCGAAGAGTCCAGCTATTGAATACCACTTTGTGGATATTCGAGATGAAGCAACCGATGGTGGGTTGGTATTAATTCACATTGTCTTCAGACCAGACCAAATTGAGCGTTTGGATACTGGATGGCGAACTTGAGTTTATACCGTTTCTTAAATTTCCGTTAGACAAGAAAAGTTTTGCGGATCGAATGGTCATAATTGCGGTAGATATGGAAAGGCCTTGGGACATAATGGAACAGTTAAAGAAGTGGGCCAGTGCTCTTGATACCTACATTAAAAGTATAGATATATCGGTTGAGGATATGGACGAATACAAAGAAAATCGTAAGTGCCTAATTTCTATTATTTCATTTTTGGTTTTATGGAAATCATTGCTTTACCACCAAGTTTTAACTCCCGTTGGCCATTTTTTAGTCCTAATTACCATCGTTTTTCCCACGGTATCCCTTTAAATATCTTGAGTCTAAATAAGTCATGATTCCTTGGACATTGGCGTCTATTAGACCTTTTTCAGTGATTGATGCCTCAAGACATGTGTAAGGTTATTGCATGGTTCACTAGTCCCATTATTTCTCGTGACTGCCCATTTGCTCTCACTTGTTATGGCCTTATATTCTAAAAACGTTAAACAAGTGCAGTTTGTACTCATGTGATTGCGAAGGAAAGAGACAATTAAAGTTGTCTACTGTTTAGTTGTTCGGCATTTTCGTGGGTACGTCGAACCAGATAGTCTGAACTTACATACAACGAGTGCAGGCGAAACGGCCGTTCCCAAGACCGATGCTCCAGTGCTGGCCCAAACATCCGGCTCTGCGGTTGTCGGCCACTCTTTGCATCCAGCCACGGCGGCTCTCCTTGGTCTGAATGCGCAACGGGTGCAGCAATCTTCGGTTCCCATGGACCATGAAACCGAGGAAGCTGAGGATGGCGGGCAGAATGAGGAAGAGGCCATGATGAAGAAGAAAGCCGCGACTTCTGCTCTCGCAGAGCTACCCATTACACCGGGCGCTCTAGTCAACAACCTCGGAATCCCCATTGTAGTTGTCGTCACGAAGGTGAGTGTGGTTTGTCATCTACACGTCAATATCATGCGCAGCCAGTAAAGTCTAGATACTGTGAAATTCGCAGGGTCATTTCACGAATGTGTATGTAAAATTTGAAGACAACGACAGTTGTATTTGTGGTTGGCATTGAAGTGAACCCACAGCATCACGCGGAAGCCTGACTAAGGTAGATTTAGAAGCAAACATAACTCCACCTGATTACCTGAAAATAGCTTCGATGTCTGTTGACTGAAAGGCTCGATTTGGAACATTTTTCAGGTGATGATTTTCACGAAGTTAATTTATAATGCCTAATTTTTAGAGATCACAGACTTGTGGTTGACTTCATCAAACATACTAAAAACAGATTCACTGAATCAGGGCTCGCCATTGCAGTTGCCTCCATGGTAGAATCCGGATCAATATTGCTCTCCCCCGTTAGTATGCGCCAAATCAATTTATTTCCCAGAAAACTTCGTTTCTTAAGGTTTTCTGACTTTGTGTAAAACTTATTCTGCCAAACTTCCTGTAATCGCCACTTGTTTCGAACGAGGCCAATCAACATTGAGTGCCGCATACACATAATTAAAGCTAGCGAAAATTTTGAATATGCATATTTCTTTTACTACTGGTTGTCCGTTTTATGCTTTTTTTCATTTTCCTCGGTCTTCCATTGAATTTTTCCGTCTTTTTCATACCTTCTAGACTGATGTTATGGACAACTTGGAAAGGGATCATGGAATTTCGGAGGAACAATTCGACCTTATCCAAATGCATATTCGCCGATTCTGCCTCTCGTGTAATTTTTTCCCACTGTATTTAAGTCATCCTAAACATTCTTAACCTGTCCAGCGCAACACTAACACTTCCGTAGCTCCTTTCTGTTACATTACGATGATACCGGCTTTTTCTCGCGTTTGATCATCGAATGTTGGGTACATAGAAACAGGAAGTTGGCCCTACTCCATGTTAACGGGGTTAATCCGTGTCCTGTTCTGTAAATCAACTACCTGTGAAGCCATTGTTGAAACCCTACCTTATTTGAGCGTCAGGTAATCATTTGTTGTAGCTATCGTTAAGATCGTGCCACACCGTCCACTGCAACCAGAAAGTGCGCATTCTTGAATCCTAATTCCCTGCGTCAACTTCTAGATGGTGCTTCTCTTATCTACGTTTCGGCCAAGAATGGCAAGAATTGCGGTCTACTAAGCAGCTACCTGCAACATCGGATTTACGGATTCCCGTTCACTCAAAATGCCTACGTTATTGACAAGGACAGTGTGTTCATGTAAGTTAGTTCATCTCATTCTGAATTATTCACTGCAGACATTGAGCATATTTTTTGTGCAAAAATACGCAGTTTTACTTTCCATGGATTTCCTCTTGTGACTGCTTGCTTTTTCAACGCTCCCATTACACCTGTGGGTAAAGGCGAGCGATCAGCGATTTCGAGAACAATACAAGTTTAAAGGTTAAATATGACCAGCGGCTTTCGTGAAAACATGACTTTTATAAAAAAATGAATTCATGTTTAGCTATTTTCTCTTAGGGGTTAAAGGCTAAGAACATTTTGCCTGAGATTTTATAGACTAGTATTGAGATGTTGCTTCAGCGAACCATCTGCTCAGAAATTGTTAGTTTAGAAGGTAGAATCTTATAAAAAAACATCGGAAATGTGCCAGCCTATTCACGAGTTTTTTTTAAAATGCTCATAGATCCTAAGAATAAAGTCACTTGATTTATTGTACCCTGACCTCATAGTAGCATGATTTGCCAGTGTTAGTAGTGGGCACGTTTGACCACGCTTGCGCATCCCGGTGCCGACACAGGCCACATCTCACAGCATGGCTAACCCCACGACAGTGCTAAAAGTTCATTCCAATACCTCAATCGACAAGTGTCTAAAACTTTCACAGGCGCACTCCATGTGTTGGCTGTGCTGGTCTAAGCAGCAATTGCGTATCACATGCGAATCAGAAATGTGCAATTCCTATCACAGGGGAACTGCCGCGTCATGTCTTCAGACATTCCCCAGCCGAACCAGTGTTCATCTTCATGAAAGGAACGTCAAACATTTTGTTCACTCAGGCCATATTCCCGAACACGCTTTTCTAGGTCAATTGCGTACTCCCTAGGGGCACTTGCTAGTGCGGATGTTAATCTGTTGGTTAATCTCGTCCTCGCGAATTAGTCGAATGTGTTATCACGACTGCGAAATCGTACGGCTTTTCGTTCCTCAATAAGTCAGCGGACTGAGTGGCTTTGTGTAGCCCGGAGGAAGCCGGACGGGTGTGTGAACGTGTGGTTGCTAACGTCGCGATGGTCTTGGCTTCGTTTGTAGCCCCGCCGGATGGGACAGTCTGAACAAAATAAGCCTGCTGGAGCAGAATCTTACCAAGTACCGTCCTGGGGACGAATTCACGGTTGTGATTCCTCGACCCGAAAAAGCGAGTGCCACTGTCAACACCGAGCCTGAAGTCTGCGCCATGGATGAGCAGGTCACTGATTCTCTTATTTTTTGACTTGAAAAACTCTTTAAGGTCGTAACAATTAGGGCTGGTTGTCGTACCATTGACTTTGTCGTTTTGATTGTACCAGAGGCAGTGTTGCTTACTCTACCCTCTAAGCGAGACTCGTGTTATAAAGCAACGCAGACTGGTCACCCGTGCTACACAAGTCTTACTGTTGCCACCAAATGGTAACTTGAATTTGTCTTCGGCCACTATGAATGCATCCCACCCACATATTGTTGAATGCAAGGATATCTAGCTAAACCTTTTTTGTCTGTTTTGTCTTTTATTTTTTTTTGTAATATATTAGTGAGTCTAGTACAACAACCGACCAGGTCCTCATGATCCAGTTTTTTTATATTGGAAGTAATGCAGTGTACTTATGTGTATAAAAGTAGCGTTTATTGTTCAGCGATTCTTGAGTCGTCTCTACACCAACTTGCAACGCGATGCAACATCAGCTTCCGCAAACGAGAATTCACCCACGGCTCACGACCAGTCGACTCTTGACTCGTCTGCAACTCCGGGAAGTCGACCTTCTTCTGCCTCTTCACAGGCTGCGGCACAACGAAGTCGAGTAAGCCAAGATTGCAGTTTCAATTATTCTTTTTTCTCTGCAGATTGCATCTTACAAAGCCTCTTTGTAACAGAACTATGAAGTCCTACGACTGATTGTGCACTTGTTTTCTTTGCTAGTCGTCTGGTGCGGGGAACACGAGTGGTTTGGCCGGGAATGCGTCAGAGAAGGTGCTTGCTTCCTTCTTCAACAATCTGCTGAGCAAGGGGTCTTCTGCGCGCCAGAGTCCCAACACGTCGTTTGTCCTGCCTGCCGACACAAGTGGTCAGTCTGCTTCTCGGTTATTACGCTTCAGCTGTTTTACCAATCCGCGTTTTGTTGATAACCAGAGTTTCAGCCTCATTGAAACGGAAAAGGCTGTGGCCTCAATTTCACTTAGGACTTTCATCATTGTCTATCTACTGAGGACTGTGGCTCGTCGTGATTCGTCTTTTCGTTGATCTTGTTGGAGTAGAGGATTCATGGACATGCGTGATTTCGACTGATGTAATTGCTTGAGAGGCAATGTAATGGGTGAACCAGTGCCCTCATTCAGTCCAGAAATTCGAGGACGGGTGCGGTCCATGTAACCCACAAACTAATCTTTCATGGGGCCATCTGAGTATTCGTGCCGCGATCTATCACCCAGCTGTGTTTCTTGTGTCTGTTGAGCGGCGATCTGCGTGTCGATAGTTTTGGGTTGGCGCTGCGCTAGAGGTGTGTGGTTACACACGGAACTGGCTCTTGATGTTCGGCCGCGTAAATTTCATCTCCCGAGCCACACAATGGAGGTTCTGGCGTAAAACATAAATTTGCGGATTTTCGTTACTATCAGCACGATCTTAGAGCTCACATGTTTGCCAGCACTCAATTTGTTCAAATGTTCACTCGATTTATTCACTGCTCCATGATTTGCGGTAGCGTTTTCACCGTGACGAAGGGCCCAGTTTTGCGTATCAGTGCCACATAAGGGATGCGTATTTAGTTTAGTTACCCCAGTTGTATTCGGACGGCATTTTCTGCATTGTGGTAAATGCATTCTTGTAGACGAAGTCGTCTCTTGTTTGAATGCGGACTTGGCTTGTCACTGACTCATTGTGGAATACTTGATTTATAGGAAATTTCAGTATTTCTCTACTTCCCATGTCAGAATCTGCTAGAGACGTATTCCAGAATCTAGGGAATTTGAGCATTTTAATCTATTTGTTGTGCGCTTTTCAGGTACCAGTGAAGCACCCATTCTGACGAACAAGGAGATGCAGTCCGAGTTGGAGCGACTGGCCCGGACGTCAAAAGAGGCTCTTGACACCTCCGGTGACAATGCGGCTTCTCCGAGAAAATCGTAATGAAGACATCATGTTTGCGTGCATTCATTTGACCCCTCGCCCTGTATCACTCACCTTCAATACTTCGCCTTAATTAGAATCTGTCTTCTTTCCCACTTTTTTTTAATTTAAATCTGTTTAAAATGTGGTGAAAATGGGTGCACCTGTCACGAGTCCTCTTAAAGCAGACTCACCCACGCAAGCGCATACTTAGTTGGTGCTTACGCGATTGAACAGTCGTATCTGCTTTCGCTTTTCTGTTCTCGGGTTGTTACGGGCTGTTCAGTAGTAGGGTTGTAAGGAACGGCAAGCCACACTACACCTCTATTGTTGCGTTTTGCCCTTAACCAATACAATACAGATAGTCGGTACCCGAGATCCCCTGTCGGATGGTAGTCCAACCTTTCCACGCTTAAGACGAGGCAGGATCTCCTACAGTGAGCTTGTAATGTCCCAGCCAAGGGCCACAGAAACGGAAACACGAAGCCTTTCTACGCGGAATCTACTACGCCATTTAAGGCCGAAGCTCTCGTGTGCTCACGCTACTGCAGACCTGGAAGTGGCTCATGAATCAAAGGAACGATCGCACATCGACGTGGAAGAGTCACTTTTCACGTAAAGGTGGGTTACGACACATGGATGAGACATCTAACCCACAACGTGAGCAGACAGCAAATTCACGGGAATTACTAGCCTACAAACCTCAACTGTCAATGTTAATGGAAGTCTCATCATAAAACCTGAACACAGATCAAATCATAGTGGTCGAACCGACGCCTACCATCTTCTTTAAGGGAGAGAGGTGTTGAGCATCCAGCATTCCCCAAGACGGCTCATCACGGGTTAGGATTTCGTCATTGTTTGTGCAATTCCCTCAACCACGCCACTTACGTGTGTCAGTCACCCTAGGAACCCTGCTAACAGTCCCATTTGTGTTAATCTGGCCTTCATCCATCAGATTAAGGTCATCCTTGACTTGTATAAGTGAGCACATTCAGAGAAATAACTCGGCCTTTGGCTGAGACATTAGAATTCCTCCGCACGAGGTCCTGCCTTGTCGTACATCAGCGTGGGAAGGTGGGGGCAAGTGTCTGGTTAGGGATCTGGGGTGCCGGTTACCTGACTTTGGGGTCCTGGTTACGGGCAAAACGTAACTATCATCGACTTAATGGTGTGCCCCTAGTTCGTGAATGCACTTTTGATCATCCAAGGCTTCTGCATCACGAATGCTCATAGTTACGCTGCGTTTTGAACATGACCTTTGCCCTCTGCAGGCGTGGTTACACCGTTTCGAATTCCCTTCAGCGTGTCTTAGTGTTGGCGATACCGCCTTTCACGTCTGTGCATAGCCTTGTGGAATTCCGCTGAGAAGTCCTCCTAACTAACAAGATGTCTTTATGTGTCTAAATCTAGGCAAACCTCCAGCAGACAACGGAAAGATCGTGGTCTCCAATGTAAGGAATCTGTTTATCACGTAAATCTCTGCTTTAGTAATTAGCAATGTATTTGGAATTGACGCCCCCTTAAAATTTTGCGCTTTAATTGGGCTGTAGGCGATTTGAATGCCACTCTTGCATAACGTGGTTCGAAATATCGCCAAGTATTTCGCAAACACTTAAAAGAATTTGACGTTCTCAAAGTGGTTTAGCACTGAGTTTAGCACTACCTTACAATCCTCTAGTTGACGGCCCCTTACAATCCGAGAAGAGGGGGAAGAGAGGCAACGGGGAGCACGACCGTTTATTAGTGTCACTCCAGCCAAGTGTTTTTATGTGAACATTGAGTATGCATTCGTAACAAGCGACTGCTATCAAGAATCAACAACAAAGGGGTGAGTCATTGGTACAGTCGGGTCATCATACACGCAGCGCTCGCGTCGATCCACAACAAGTCCACGGTTTTGTTAGAACAAGGGCGAGCATTTCAGCCTAAGGCCACGCGAACTCGTTCTATTGTGATCATTTTTCTCCAACCTATGTACTTCATTAATGCCGTGCGAGTCAATTTATGCTAAGCTTATAACCGTGCAGGTGGGTGCGTAAGCGGATGGTTTGAGCCGCTGAAAATTCCTATAACTACCAATCGCTTAATTTCTTACTAAGTGAAATTTATTTCTAAAAGTATTTAAATCTAACCTTACTTCTATCCGAAAATTTCCATAGATTTATTCAAGACTGTGCTGTACAAATTATTTGAGACTTAGGTGTAATTTGTTTTTAACCTTTTTTTTTAAAAAATTGGTGCTCTAATTAAGGGTCTTCATTCTTGGCTATGTTCTACATTTTTGCATTAATTTCGTTCCCATTTTCTTTCCCTTTTTTCAGAAAGAAGATTCAGCCTTGGCTCATAAATAAATCAGAAATGTTACTGCTCTAATCATTTGTATCTTTATTCATAGGAATGAACAGCTTTACCATCTGGTGTGGTCATGTGATTAAATACCGCCAATCGGTAACAGATTTGTAAGCATGGTGATTCGATAATAAAATGATTGTGAAAAACAGCTTCCTAAGCAAAATCCACCAATCATTTAAGTAAACAGGGGGCAGTATACCTATTTAAATTTCTAGTTGCATTTGCACCTTATTTATCCCCTTCTCGCAATGCCTTCAACAACTCTAAACGTAGCATTCGCATTCGTGGCTGCCTTCTTTTTCTTCCTCGCTGTTGGCTACAGTGGATGGCCATGCTCTGGAAGCATTCTCGCTGAGCCATGCTCCAGGACATTTTACTTGCAAACCACCGGTGCTATCCTGTTAACAGCAGGCCTCGTGGTCTTTGTCGGCGCCATCATCCTCATTCTCGTTGTTACAATGGGCGATTCGTGGACTGAAATTGTCTCCGCAGTCTTGGTTACCATCGCGGCCATTCTGTCAATTGCTGGTGTCTTCTACTACTTACACACCACTAACCAATGGTCTCCGTTCTTCTCCACCATCGCCATGACTCTGACGGTGGCTCTTGCATCAATGCTTTTATATGACCTTATTTCTAGCCATACGTGAAGTGACTGAGCCATTCTGTATTCACCTTTTCAGTGTTCATGTTTGGAATTGTCGTGAAAATAAATTTGCGTCTAAAATGCAAGTGTTTTGCCGTTTGATCCAACTAATTCAGGGGTAATTTTAGTATAATTATGTAGAAATTGGTTGTATGGCTCTGGCTTATTTATAAAGCACTATATTATTAAAGATCGTCCCTGGATATGAATTGCATTAAAGTAGAGAATAATACGCGGACTATAGTCCTTTGTGAGTTTAGCTGATAATCTAACATAAGTAGCATTTGCGAATCTATCCACTTGTGAATAGTTAGAAAGGGAAACATTGACTATTTTGTGACGACGTAAGACGTTTCCTGACATCACTGTATTGCTGCGCTGAGCAACACATAAGGCTTATCCCTATTGCCTTTATTCTTTATTGGGTTTGAGTGGTAACAAGAAATTTACGTTTCAGCCATTTAAGAAAAACTCAATGCATTTTTGCCAAGATTTTGAGTTCAGTCCGAAGTAAGGGCAAAAAGAGGTCTAGATGTGTAAATTTAATAATAAAGGAATATTCAGATATCTAAGCAAATTTTGAAACTTAAAAGTTCAAGACTCCGTAGATTTACTTCAAGGTGACTTACAAGTTAGAAACCAGACAAACCTACGGGCTCGTGGCGGCTTCGTTAACACTACCTTGCAACCGCGCCAGTCGATTGTCAGTAACAGCCAGAGAAGATAGGCAAGACCAATGATAGCAAATATAACGACTTATTTCCATTTGACCACCCAAGTGCGTGAGTGAATACCGAACGTCAATTGCTATCAACAATCGACAACATTCAATCAACTTACGCTCGTTTGATAAAAGTTCACTGAAGGCTCAAGGGGAAGTGTAATGTTTTAGGTCAGAAGACGATGTCAATGTTCTCTCCAACGGTCTTAACAACATTCCTTTATTGGATTTTTAACATTGTTGCAGGATCCGCTGCCAAATATCATCACTTTTACTGCAAGCATTATTATATTGTAATGTTTTACAAGCAATAATTTGTACTTATCTAAGTCTGCTGCCAGCTGATTCACTGTTATTTGAATTGAGGTGAGCCATCAACACTTACAGGGTTCTCTTGATTGCTGTGTGGCTACATTGGAAGTAATCACACTGGTACGAATGACAAGAAGGCTTCGTGGAGTATCCAAATCGAGCTTAAGCCATGACAAAGCAATGCTTTTGTTAAATGATTTCAATTACCTGAAGAGGCCAATTAATCTTAAACACACAGTGAATTCGAATAAAGTGACCTACTTAACATAAATTGCCAATAATTTATGGCTAATAAAGTTTCAAATAATGTCCAATAGCCAAATTTAATGAGTGTGTAGTTTTGGTGCGTAATGTGAATTTTTGGCAAGCCAACGTTAATCACACAAGAGTTTCCGCTTTTTGAATTACTCTCTTAAGCCATGCTTGAATTAAAGCTGCACCCAACTTTTTGCTGACTAACTTGAGAATTGATTTATGTAGTGTGTGGACCTGGTAGGAGTTTGATGCTGGGTGCTTTCGCTTGGTGGCCTCAGATTGTCGTAATATCTACCCTACCGCAGTGCATCTCATATTTTCTTATGAAGATACCAAAGTACATTTGAGGAAGTGGTAAAACGTTCTTTGTTAATTTTACCATTAATTTCAACAACTACAGGTTTGTTGAGAAAATACAGGGTAATATCCGGTTTATTTGGTGTCTTTTTAGACACATACAAAATATTTCAGAATACACGCGTGCACTTCCTGATACCGCGTCTAGTTAGGGCAGTCGAAGATAAGCAGGCACCCAAGATTTCAGTTGACTTTTGTTCGTGGAATGTACATCGCAACCGTCCTCAAATTTCGTTGTAATAATTTCGTAGGATGTTTCAATTAATCTCACTTAAGGTCATAGGGTGCTGGCAATGTGAATTTTGCTGTTCGGTGTTAACTCATTTTTGTACCAATCACTTCATTATAATTACCATCAGTGATTCAATAATATAATACTAAAAGAAAACATTAATGCAGTTTAAATAAATTCTTAGGGAAAATGGGAAGGGCATTAACGAGAATTGCAACATGCTGAGTAATAGGCCTCTTATAACTCACCGAGGTAATGAGTTTTCTCAAGCAACAAAAGCACGCTTTACTTATATCAAGAATTCACATAGTAAATTGAAATTGTAGAAGTGTCAGGGAGGTCTTGTGATCCCACAGAACCTTAATGATTGACTGATTTTCCATCAGAAGGGGTAAAGGCAGTAAGGTGCAGATATACAAATCAAAGCACTTCTGAAAACTTTTGGCCCCCTTCCAAATTAGTTTTAACGAAGTTATTGTTAACTTGTAAGTGACGACGCACACACACACTAAATGAGCGAGTTTTGATATAACAGTTGTCAGAAATGCTTATTGAATAGATTGATGGCAACTCAAGCCTAAAGTTTATTTTCACATTAGAAGACTTTGGAGTTACCTTCAGATCTTCACAGTGGACAAGCCTGGGCTGATGTGTATTTAACTCTCATTTGAGCAGGTGAGGTTCGCCTTAATATTTGAGTAAAAAATATTGCAAGTTGCCAAAAGGCGAATATTAAACTCTAATTCATGCTTTTGCTTTCAAAAAAGCCGATACTGCATTGCAATAGATGAATGGTACGCTAAAATATAATACCAGATTGCAATATTGCATCGAGGAAAAAATTAATTTGAAACAAACTTGTGAGAATTGCTGTCTCTAGTTCTGGTTTATGAATCTACTTTCATATTGTTGACCCCATCAGAATGCAAACATTTTGCTCAATTATTTCCCAAATAATTTGGATTTTTAATACTATAATAAAGCTTGCACGGTTGCATCAAATTTACTCGATGGTAGTAGCCACAGTAATGACACTGAGATCTCGTTGTTTAACATTACCTCTAGAGGCAACTTTTTGTGAACTATTTAACCTTCCGTAACTTGCCCAAGCAGCGGTACGCCTAGTTTTATTTTTATTCAATTCTAATCATCGTTTCTAATACAATAAGACAAGACTATACATTACACTACTGAACGAGTCTCATGTTGCAATATAGTTTCCGGTTACGGGTTTTCAAAATAACTGCTGTCCCTCAGTGATCAATTAACGAACTTGACTTTACTTTACTTACTTTACTTTACTTAACTTTAACGAACTTTACTTAAGGTCAGTTGTTTGACGTAAATGGGACACAATCGCAAATATCTACTGAAATTGTCTCGGAAACGTTGCCATGTCCTCATTTTTTATGGCACTCCTTAGGATTATCATTTCATGGATAATTTGTCAGATTATTGTGTAATAATAGGCTTTGAGTATGCTTCTTAGTTATCAAAATTCAAAAACGTCTAATAATTGTAGTTAGAATGTCATTATAAACAGTGGATGACGATAAAATTTTCAGGCAGTGATAACTATTTTTTACAATGCAGTATCAAAAATATGTAAACCTATAATTTTGCTAAGTGTTTAGCTCTTTTCAGTAGATCTTAAAGTTTGACAGATCAGAAAACGCAATGATTGCAAAAATGTGCAATGTGTGCGTAGTCCGTAGTCAGACTTGAAGCAGCAGCATGCATTTGTACAAAATCGATCATGCCAATTCAAATGGTTGATCCTCAGTTAATAGAGACGCAACAGTAAACGAAGCCCTTAGAATATGTGGCTTCCGATAGTGTTTGTCAAATTATTTATTATTTCTGTGATTTGTTTTAAGTCAGTGCGGCTATCAGAGACCAGACGCTATGACTCAGAAAAATCACACAACTTCCTTCGAAGACTAGTAAAAACTAATATGTAAGTTAACAGCATTGCCTTTGAATCTAGTTGGGGTTCATCAACTCGCACTTAAAGTGCACATTCTGAAGTGAACATTTAAAGCTTAAAATTTGAATTTGAAATTTGAAATTACGTTTTTTTACATTAATTTTTGAAACAAACAAAAGCAAATTTTCACGCAAGGCTCTTTTATGTTTTGACGGATTGTAATTATGACTTTTTTTCGAGCCTTATCCATCAACCCATTTAAAAAAAATTTAGTCCAGCCATGCTGTTTAAAGAGGTTCAAGAATAAGTCTTGAACGTTTAACAGTTTTTTTGGTCGAAAGTAGTTTATGATGAGTAATTTTCTTGTATCACAGTTGTGTGCTTTATATTTTGAAGCTTATTTGAATAAAATTATTTAAAAAGATTACCGATGAATTGGATATCTAGTTGGTGCCATCCGTTGATTTGGTGTAAATTAGATATTGGTATAAAATTTATTTTGATATCTATAAATAAATACCGGGTGATGTTCTTATATTAACTTTAGATTTCAGTTCCGAACATTTAACCTGATAGATTTTGCGAGAACGTGGATAGTTCAACTGGGAGTTTATTTTCCTTGTGATTCGATATGCCGTCCTACTTTGTATAACTTAATTTAATTTAATAAAGCCCACAAACTGCTTAGGCCGAACCCTATCTAAACTGCTTAGACATCATCTGTTTTGTGTTTGATAATTCCAATCGGTTTATCTATATATTCGTTTAGGGGATGCGGAAGACAGAATGCAATGTGCTACAACTCGAATCACACATGTTCTAGTATTTCTAACGGCCAGATGGTTATTTGCACTAAGGCCTGTGAATTATGCATGCCATGTATACACCTGCGTCTTGGATCTGTCGTCCAACTCTGCCACAAGATTAGCCTGTTGTGCTGCAGTTCGGGTGAATGCAACCAAATCGCAAGTTGTGAAAATGAATAAAGAACAGATTTAAATAGAACCCAACTACTGCACCATCAAGGTTTTCTCTGAGCTCCACGTCAGGTAAAAAGTCCCTCGTTTGTTGAGCTTTACCCTAAATATACACTAGTATCATCAAAGAGATATAAACACGTCCTGCTGGACGTCAACTTTGCAATACATTTGTCTTGATTAAACGCGACAGTAGTTACATTGTGCACCTATAAAGCAGTAA